TGCCCATGGTAAACTTCTTTGCAGTTAAGTTACCTAATGATTATTTAATATACTAAGAATATAAACTGTAACCAAGTCAGTCAATATCTAAATTATCAGTTTTTAAATTAACTTTCCTTAAATGTGTTTGGCTATAATCTAAAGTAAGTAGTTAAATTCTATTTGTTCTGACTAAAACTTAATTTCTTTAAATATTAAGAACTTTTACTCATAATCTCTTATATCATACAAAAAGAACAAATTTAATAATTATTTCATTGCATTCAAGGTATGTTTTATTTCCAAAGCAAAAGAATTGTATACCTTCATAGTTCATTTTTAAAAAAATGTAATCCTCAGATACTAATGTAATTCGATTTTATATTGACTATATGTTGTTATTGTTGAAGTTTATGACCTAATGACTTACACAGCAATATAGTAAACTCAAATTGGTTGTATTGATTACCTAATTGAAAAAATTAGACAAAAGTATGTGTGTTGCCTAAAGCCTCATAAAAACAGCATAATTGATTTTATCCATCATTTAGATGCATGATTTTTTGTCAATAAAATTTAGAAAAAATATTGAATTAAAAATTCAAAAAATGAAAAGTTAACTTCATGTTATTTTTTCATATTAATAATTTTAATTTATGATATAATATTATATTACATTATTCTGTAAATACTTATGCCACTTGAGTTCAAATTTTTAAAATTACTTTATAAAATATAACAAGCATTTAGATTACACATTTGTTTAAGTCTTGCTAGCAGAAATCTTGTGGTCATCTATTAGCATATTATAAATTTTAATTATTATAAAGACTGTTTAGTCCTATCTGATCCTAGTATTACTCTACATGGAAAATAAGGTATTATAATTATAAATATATGTCTCTATCTGTAGTTCTATATATTTAGTTTATATTAAATAGACTAATATTAAGCAATTTAATTAACTTTAAAAATATTTTCAGCATTTCTTCTATTCATCATTAAAGTGAAATAGTCTCAGAAAAGTGAGCACTAGTAACTAATACTATTCTGTATTCTGTACTATTCTTTAATGGATTGTATGTTCTACTTATTTTATACTGCTTTTCGTGTTACCCGGATAACATACCTTTATTATGTAAGCATTATAAGGATAAGATATGAAGTCTTTTAAATCTTGACATATTCTATTTCCTTTAAATGAAAATTGCTCTCCAGTGTTCTGGCATTGACTGCTTGCCATATCATCAGTGGCAGCCCAAACATTTATGACCTTGAACATAATCAGCATTATCACGATGTGTTTTGTAAGATAGCATTGAATAGTCTTTGAAGGGCCACAGACACCTAATCACAGTGACTTACAACCAGTATGTGTTACCTTGATTTAAGAAAATTCCAGGAAATTGATATTAGTGCTAGGCTGAAATAATCCCCTGGGAGTGAGATGTCTGAAAGAATACTGAATAAAATTTTCCTTCTGGCCAACAGCTTCTATTTCTCTTGATTATACCTTTTCTATCTTCTCTTTACTCTTCTGTTTCTCCATATTTTCTTCTCTCCTTTTCTACCATTATATTCTTCTCTTCTATAATTATCTTTTTCTCTCTCAAATTCATACTTATTCTATATTTGCATTTTTGAGGTCTGGCTTCTCCCCCTGTGGAGGTTTTGTCATTTAGTATTCATTCCTTTAGACATTCATCGTGGATTTGTTTCTAAGTGATTACTTATTACAAGTCTGCTCCATGTTAGACAACTTTGAAGAAGCAATTAGAGAGAAGATGGATGATAAATTCCTATTTCTTTACTGAGAGTATACTATATGCCAGGCACTGCTCTAAGGGCTTAATATATATTAACAGATTTAATCCTTATAACAATCCTAAGAATAGGTCCAATTTATTATTACTATTTTTAAATATTTTTATTGATTTCAGAGAATAAGGGAGAGGGATAGATAGAAACATCAATGATGAAAGAGAATCATTGATTAGCTGCCTCCTGCATGCTTCCTACTGGGGGGTTGGAAGGGTGGATGAAGCCTGTAACCCATACATATGCCCTTGGCCTGAATCGACGCTGGGAGCCTTTACTCCTCAGGCTGACACTCTCTCCATTGAGCCAAACCAGCTAGGGCTAGGTCCAATTTTTAATCATCATTTTACTTATGAAGAAACAAGCACACAGTAGGTAAATGTTGCCCAGGGCCACACAGTTAGTGAGTGTCAGAGTGGTGTGATGAGGTTTGGCTTTAGAGGACATGCAATGGGATCTCTGGGGAAAGGAGTCCCATGACTGAGAGAACTAGGCAGTGCTTAACAGAACTCCTCCAGGTTTCCAACTTTTCAATTTGAGTAAAATGAAAGTACACCCAGACATTATCAGCTCTTGATAAAAGTGAAACACTCTTTAAGTCCATGATTTGGAGGGGAGAAGACATTTGGTTGTTTTTGTTAATAGGTGTATAAAACACAAAGGTGCATACAGCTATTAGGAGGGATTTTGAGGTACTTGAATTGACATTTGGCAGCTGTCAATCAATACTTAATCCCAAACTTTGGAAGAATTGAAGTAAGGACCTCAGGGTCAAAATCAATAGGGTTTTCTTCACTCGTACTTCTATGCCTTTCATTAAACCACAGAATTTAAGTCTGGAATGATTTAGGTGTTGAAGTTATTTTGAAAATTCAGGTGAATTATCAACCTCACTTTTTAATCTGTCCAGTTGTTTAAAGTGAATGAATGAATCATGGTCACCAATCTGGGATGGGAACAGAAGTGGTCAGAACAACTGTAAGCTTAGAAAGTGGTTCTAATAGTAGTGCTAATCTAGTGTACTTATTTTTTAAATATATTTTCATTTTAGAGAGGAATGAAGAGGGAGGGAGATGGATACAGCAATGATGAGAAAGAATCATTGATCCGCTGCCTTTTGCACGCCCCATAATGGGGATCGAGTAACCTGGGCATGTGTCTTGGCCAGCAATCGAACCATGACTTCCTGTTTCATAGATTGATGCTCAACCACTGAGCCATGCAGGCTGGGCCAATGCATTGTATTTAATAAGTATGTGTTACTTTTCAGGTTTTCACTTCTGTATCTGAGATAGGTGAGGAAGATACAAATAAACCAGGTTACATATAAAAAAAAATGGTCAGAAGTGGTCAGCCTTATATCTACAGCTAGTTAATTAGCAATGAAACTCAAGTAAAAGTAGAAAATCATGATATCTTCTTTTCCAAATAATGCAGAAGAGAGAAACTAACTTGTTTGGTTCATAAACACATAAGAAAAATGTCATTAATTCACATGATTGCCATTATAATATCATTTCTCATACATTTGTTTGATTCTGGAAAATTGCCAGAAGGTAATATTTTTAATGTTCATCCCTGTTGTAATTGTTTAGTCATTGTATACATTGTTGTGGCTTAGAAAAACTGCTTTATTGCTTTTATCAAATATTCATTCATTGTCTCATGTTCCTACCTATCTCCCTTGAAACAAAAGTTTAGAAAAAGATATAGCATGAAAAGAACATCTTTAATGATTTCTTGGCATTTGGTGTCATTATTAGCTATCTGCAGAAGAGTATATAATTCACTTAATACTCATTTTACAGATCTTGTTTGAAGATTCTAGATAATACAGAAATACAATCTGAGTGCACAGTCTATGAACATTGGATTTACCAACACATTTTGACTTCATTCTAAAGTGCTTGTGTTTATGCTTTTCTCCCACTTTCTTTTTCACACATATTATTTGTAGAAAGTAGTAATAAAATTGACAATCACAGTAATAGGTTGCTTCCAAAGACATTTAGAAATAGATAATTTGATGACTGTTTTCTTTTCAATCAAAAAGCTAATGGAAACAAGTTTGCTTTTATCCTTTGGGCTATTTCATTCATTTCTGAAATTCCCAAATTTACTGAATAGTCATTTTTTGAAAGGAAAATAGACTAAAATCTTGGTCTTATGTTCCAAGTTTTCTTCTCCAACACTTGTTTTTTGTTGTTGTTGTTGTGTGTTTTTTTGAATATAAAAAATGAATGTATTGTTCAAATTTAGAGGGAGTAAAGAGGTGTTCTAATATCTGAAATTAGAAAGCAGATATGAAAAATAGAAAAATTTCAACAGAGTGATAATGTTGACCCTAAGGTAGAAAGCAGTATGCTAGTTTTTGAGGAATCTGTACATGATTTATGTAATACAGTGAATCAGAAGGGTCATACCAAACAGAGAGAAGGTGGTGGGACCCTTTATCACTAATTGGAAGCTTGATTTTCAAATGAATTTTAGGCTATTTACAATTACATACGAAACTGTGTGTCTCCCCAGCCATCATGTGAATTGCTGAGGAATCGGAATGGCAAAGTCTTTTGGGAAATGCAATACAAATGAACAGTCGCCGTTTGGAGAGCACACATAATGGTGGTGTGCATTCTGGGCACTGGTCAACAACAATATACAAGATCACTAATAAACCTATTGCAAAAGCCTTTTATAAAAGAGAAGAAAAAAAAAAGAGAGAGAGAATAACAAAGAGATGGCATCTCCTCCCTTTCTCCCAGACTCCTTATCTTCAATCTCTTACTATTTAAATGCACTCCTCATGTATACATTTTAGAAGCACTAACTTCATATCAGTTTTAGAAGCACCATATTGCACAAAGAAATACTTTCATTTGAATTCATTATTGAGAGAAACATACAAAGTTGTGGCTTTGATATTCTTATTGCTAGGATAGTAACACTATACTTTAAACAGCAATAAGATATTTCCTTTTTCCATAGAATTTTTCCACTCCATACCATTGTGTAGATGAAGTCGCTGTGGAAAATATCTCAATGCTTTAACTCAAGGGGAAAAAAAAAGTTATGGTTTCCTGTGTTATCTTAACATTGATCTTACCTTAGGTGATTGCTTTTTATATTATGGTAGGAAAAATAGGCATTCTTATGCTTTTTTATAATTGCTTTAATATTTCAATAAGGATTTGTTTCTCTTCTAGGGCCGATGCATAAACTTCTCCCGAGTTTCGTCTCAGTAAAATGAAAGACCAAGAAGGTATGAAGATGGTACATCTTCACACTGCTGATTTCCAAGAAAATGAAAACCAATAAGTGCATCTTACAAGTTTTTGGAAGAGCAGCTTTATTCCTCTCAGTGGGGAAATGTTTTCTCTGCCTTCTGCTTTGCTTGCACCAGACATTTTCAAACACTTGTTCTGCCATCCACCTGGGAGTTGATGAAACCCAGTGGTAACTCATGACTCATGGCATTGAAAATGAAAAGGACCATTAACCTACATGCCATGACTTATACAAAAGTTTGCATGAATGTGTAGAAAAGGAAAATAATAAAAAAATAAAATAAAAACAATAGCATGAAGATGATATCAAAACAGAGACCACAAAACTACTGGCCATGATGGATCTTTAATGAAGAAAGGAGTGTTGAACGTGGTAACATGGCTCTCGTGTTTTCACATGGCAAGACTGTGTATCCACAGGCAGAGGATGAGATTTCCTGCCAGGCTCAGCAAATAAAGGAGTCTATTGCCTTAAAGCTCTGTCAGATCACAAAATCCTTCCACGTTCCCTACCACTCTGTGCCTATGGGAAGCTTCTGCCTGGAAAATCTTGTCATTCTCACACTGAAAGTGCACACGCATGACAAAATGTAGACAGTTTGCCCCCAGGTATTGGTAGCAAGCAAGATTTTGCCCTATAGTTTTTCAAGACACCTTTCTTTCATTATGCTCTCGGGAAAGAAGACAATTAATAGAGCGTTATTACACAGGAAGACAGCCTCTACCCAGAGGTTTTGAGAGGAATGTGAGGGACTCATGATTTGAGACCTTGCCCCTGTGATTGGTAAACTCACCCCTCTTTCTATGTTTAGGGTTTAGTAGTGCGTAAAGCATCAATATCTGTAAACATACCAAGGAGTTTTGTTTGCTTTTAATTTAACGGAAGCGGTAACCACAAAGCTTCCGCTCAGGGTTTTTTTCTTTCTCCAAGTCTCCGAGGGCTCCTCAGCGTCACAAGCCAGCAACTCTCTTTGCATGAAAATTTCAAAGTTTAATTAATATAATTAAAGGCAACAGCAAGCAGCAGCCTGTGAAGATTTTGCTCATCTTTTTTATGCCTTTTGACATTGAATGACCTATTACTGTATGCACATTACTTGGATTTTTGAGGGGCACTTTATCTTGGATGTGATTCCATAGAGAAGAAAAGACCTCCACTCACCGATTTGGAAATGAAATGTTCAGGAGGATCCGCCGCCACCAAACATCGAAAATGTATGTATTAGAGTTTGTGTAGGAAAATCACCATCGTGTCATGTCGACGATGCCAAATGATGTTAGCGTGAGCGGAAACACGGTGGGGGAGGAAGAAGGCAGCAGCTGAAGAGGAAAGCTCAAATGATCTAGTCACTTTCGATACTGTATTTCAGAGGCGAAATGGATATTCGACGCGAAGCCTGACAACGTGCGCCCGCTTTGATGGGAACCGGTATAGACAATGACCAGTGGCTGGGTCAGTGGGATGTCTCTCTGTGCGCACCAAGGCTTATCAAATGACATAAAAATAAGTTCAACAACCATCACGTTGGAAGGGAGAAGGCGGACATCTCATGTTTGGCGGGCATGTGAGTGCACGAGATGGAAAGAGCGATCTGGAGCAACCCGGTATAATTACCCCCATTGTGCTCTTCATGGCGATGACAAAGGACGGGAGTGGTTCTGTGGGTTGGTGTCCAGATTTGTGGTGCTGCTCCGAGAAGCCTGGCTCACACACGCAAATCTATGTATGTACATGTATACCTTCTGGCTTGAATCTTTTGCTCAAGTTTATTTATGTCACTGGCTGGCTGGATCCAACGTCATGTGTCTACATATTCATAAATAAAATGTTACCTGTGCCTCTGCTACCATTTTCTTTATGCCTACATAAACTCAAGCCTTGTTTGGTTGAATACATCATTGTCCTGGTTAGTTTCGGGGACAGAAGTATATTTTGTCTCCAGATGTCCCCGTGTTCACAAGTGATACCATTGGCAGTAATTATCCATGTGTGCAAGTGTGACTTGGAAACCAGATGTAACCCAATGAGTTCTTGTAGACCTTTGTTCTACATTTGCATCTGGGACAGGGCTTATCCCTATTTCCTTTAAATTGGCACTTTGTTTCTGATCAGTGCACGTTCCTAGATGGCATTTATGAGTATCAAGGATGCTTAGAAGCTAAGGCTTTTGCTTTGGTAGTGACTTTGAATTTCTCTAGCATATGGCATTTGTTACATGAGCACTGTAAGTAGACCTCTGCCTTTCAAGGGCAAAGTAGCTTTTGGTGGGTTGTCATGCAAATGAGTTTGCAGTTCTAACACTACTATGAAGGATTCTCAGTGATGACAGAGAGGCATTGGTCTATATGTACTCCAGAAAAAGTACCATTTATAATGTTTAAAGACGGATAAATTTCATTGCACTGAAAGATATGAGTCAGCTTTATGTTATGACTTGTTTTAATCAGGTTAAGTAGCAAGTGAGAGGACTTTGCTTTAATGAGTACTGTTTTCTCACTACATTGAAAACCTCTAGACCTTTCAACCAGGAAAATGAAAGGGAAACAAAGAGCCATTTCCATAAGTGTAATAACATTTTATATTTCATATAGAGAAAAAGTTCCTGTTTAATTTTTTTTGAACTTCAGTTCAGTCAAGATTTCTTTTCTGTGAATAAATGAGTAAGCCTTTAGCCATACTCCATTTGTGTTGCATAAGGTTGCAAAAACAATTAGGTGGGAACTGACTCCTAACTTATGTGTCTACTCTGTCTGGAAAGAAAGTTTTGAAGGCATCTATATATATTTCATAACAATGTCTGTTCTTTATGGATTTGATCCATAAATATTTATCTATCTGAAAACTTTGATACTTGGAATGTTTTCCTTAAAGCATTTGGTGCTCCAAGAAAAGACATTTGGTGCTAAGAGTTGCATCACTGATGCCTTCCCCCAAGTTACTTCTATTTTAACATTTTGTATTTCCTTCCCAATGAGATGCAGAGTAAAATGTGAGACCCGCCATCTACTGGGAGCAGCATCTGTCACTATGGATAATTACTACTTTGACAAAAATATATAAGGTTTAAACCTCCTGTATTTCAGATTGTTAGAGAAGAAATGATTTGCTTATATTTCCCTTGCACTTTATTCTAACCACTTTAAGTAATAAATTATTCAATAATTGTTTTTCAAATAAATATATCCTGGGTATAAGATCTGGTGTCCCTGTGAACTTAATAACTTTATCTAATATCAATGGCCATTGTTTGCTGCTCAGAGGCAATGTATTGGCTTATTTTAAAAATTAAAACACATTGTTATAGCCAACACGGTATCTAAAATATTTTTGATTGAACAACTGACATACATTATTTAATTTTTTAAAAGACAAAATATAATTAGAAAAGCAAGTACTTTTTCATCACCAAGCTTTGGGTTAACTTCTGCTAGGTTTTGTACCGCATCACGTTGTTAGGAAATTTATCAGTGTTTTATTGCTATTGGTAATTTTTGGTGGGTGTAAGTGCACAGGGGAGAAATACATACATTCTTTATTTTAATGTGAATGGAAATGTATAATCTAGAACCATAGAACAACTTGGTACATCTGCTGTATGTTTAAGGAAAGAAACTTGCAGGTGAGATTGGAAAATGTCTGTTTGCTGGTAATAAAGTGAGTGTAACCATGTATTCTAGCCTCCAGGTTGGATTAATATTTCTCTTAGCGAATGTTTATGGCATATTTCTGAGAGTACTTTAATTTTAATATACCTCAACACTTAGAAGGATCTAATTATGTCAACTTGATAAGGAAAAAATTCTTATGAAGAATGTAGACTAACAAAGCCCAGTGCAATTTTTTATTTTTGTGCTCTTCTGCCAAAAGAAAATTCTGATAAGAAAGTATACAATTTAATATGCACATTTATTGAAACATGCTCATTCAACTTGCTTTGCAAGAACTATATTAAGATAAAGTGTGTGTGAGTATGTATGTGTGAAGAATCTAGTGGAGAGCCAAGACCATGGACCTCACCACAGCTAGCTTGCTAAAGTTGAACAGATCAGCTTCTCAACCATAGGCTGAAAATGCATTGGTGACATTTACAGTCTGTTCCAGCACTGACAGCATGTCAGTGAATATTGTCATATTGGAGACTTTCATATTTATGTATTTCATTTTTCAAAACTTGGTTTATTTGTATGGCAATATTAGCTTTGTATACTGCTATTTAGTTACAAACCATACATTGAACTCACAATCCATAATTTGTTAATTAGCCAGAATAGAGTAATTTCTCAATTAATTTCCTAAAACTAGAATTTGCCTAAGAGCAACTGGTAATAAAGTTTATATCTGATGAAATCTCTCAAAAGATGAGTATACTTGAGAAACAGATTTGTATATTTCAATCTGATATTACAGTCTTAACAAGTATCTCAAAGGCATATATAACAATGTACAGAAATTATTACAAGATATATATGTCATCAGTTTCATTGATCGAGGTGCTTTGTACCCTGCAGAAACTTAAATCATTAAATTTTTATTTTTTATTTTAGTCAAAATTGAGGGGGGGATCTTAATTTATAAGCACTGTGCCTATATTTCCTATTTATTAATTTGAATACAGCTTAGGATAGACATATAGTTGGAATTGTTAACTTTTCACACAATTACCATCAACATACTGCAGGGAAAAAAACCTGAAAGTAGGAATTAAAAAAAAAAAAAAGTATCCTTAACACTGTCACCAAATTACTGTAAAGTTATTTGTATCTTAGATGAACTAGGTTGGCAAGGTTGTGTCAGTGTCAGTGGATAATCCAAAATAAGTTGTAAAAGTTATTAAAATGTACATTTAAGTAGATTTCAATTTGATAGGAACTACAAGAGTTAATCTTCTAAAATGTAGACTAACAAAATGATATATGCTGCCTTTATCCACTAAAAGGCAAGGTGATTTTGAACAATT